CTGGGTCGTCAAATTCAAGACCGTAAGCATATCTGTTAACAACTTCATATCTCTTTTATACTGGTGACCAAATCTTTTGTGCCACATTAGTATCACTTTTACTACTATATGCTGTGTTAATTGGTTGCATCAATATATAAATATTGTTAGTCGGTTTTGCTATTGCTATTATTTTACCGTCAGCATTCGCTATTTTACAAGCGTTTTTATCAAAAATTAAACCTTTAACATACCCTTTACTGGCATCCTTCGGACCGATAATAAATTTACGCTAAAATCACGGACGTATAGAACATCGCGCACGACGATTTTTAAACTTTACGTTCACTAATCCTGATATTGTTACTCCAGTAAGCAAATTGAACGCAGACTGCGCGCAAATTGGCAGCAAATTTGATAAAAAATTTACACCAAAACCATAGCCATCTGTGTCTTCATTTAGCTACGGTTTTGGCGACAGAGCTTGATGTCGGGCAATTGCTGCAGATTTACAGCAAAAACCGCGCCGAGCGTGCAGCGCAGCAAGGTCTGCGCGGTTTCTGCCGCCAATCTGCCGTCAGATTGCTACAAACTCTGCATGGTTTTTGCTGCAAATCTGCAATAATTATCCGACAATAGGCTCTACACTATATCTGGCGACAGTTTGGCAGCAAGATTTGATATAACAGATCTTGCATCAAATTTGTTATCTATTTGCTATCGAAAATTAGTAGCAAGTTCTGTTCGAAATCTATTCACACAGGTTTGGCTATTTGGGACAGTACCTCTACTTTCTACGCGCCATTTCTTATTATCTGCGACAACTATTTTTTTCTCCGATTGTTACAAAAGAATTAAGCGCTTTTCTATATACGCTTTCATATATACCGACGCTCCCAAATCTATCACCCAACTTTCATCATCCGCTCGACTATTATTCGCTAAAAACGCGACCTTTTCGCTTGTTTCACACGTTTTCTTTTCACGATTATATCTTTGATACTTTTTATCCTTGTTGTCTTTCGATCTTTTTATTACTTCTGCATTGACTGGATATGTGACCTGGCTTATCACAGTTCGAGTATTTGATGTTCTTCGCTGGTAGTTTCCATCTCGTACCTCTCCCGTGTCGTTTGACGTGAAACGCTGCATCCACCGATGATTTTGATTTGTCGATACAACTTGATTCTTGTAGTAAATTGGTTTTAACTGAATCTCCCGTTATGCTCATGCCGGAGTTCTCCAACGCCATAATCATAGGTTGATATTGTTCAGGCAGTCCCGCCAATAGGACTGTGCTACTCTTGGTTTATTTTAAATCCAATGCCTGTCAACTGGTGTGCAGTGAATATGATTTCACTTATGTATTTCTCCATGAACTCACAGTTCTCTAATCTTATCGTTGTAATTTTTTGTAACAAACCAACTTTGCGAGTCAGTCCTGAATCTTCAAAGGTCGTCTTGAAATTATTCCAGCTGCCGTAGATACTTTTGCCACTTGAATGTATAGCGTTTCGTTCACACTCAATACTATTCTTACCTTCGCCTACGCTATTTTGTCTTCGTTTGTTTCAATTCCGAAAATCGTCTTCCATAGACCCTCCAGGCTTAGTAAATTCTCCATGGCAATTTTCCACGTAGTGTAATTTTCCCTGCCGCGCAACTTTGCGACGTGAAGGAATGCGTTTAATTCAGCCATCTTGCTCACCGCTTTTACTTCATGATCATTTTTCGCTTTCGAGAACGAAACCCACTCGCGTACAAGAAATTTCTGGACACATAACCTGTTGTTGAGTGTATTATGCAACTTTGCGTGTTGTGGCGAGGGACACAATAAAATATGAGTAGGTATGGTATAGAGGTTCTAACCCATGGTCTTCCGAGGGGGAGGTGAGGGGCGGGGGTGTCGCGGGAGGGGTATGACGTCACCGGGGGTATTATCAGCGGTCGGTAATTGGGGGAGCATACCGATATTACCGACGGTCAGTAATTTTTTACCGATATTATATAACATTTAATTACATAATTTTTACCAACATATAATTATACAATACCAATAATACCGACGATCGGTAATTTATTACCGATATTATATACCAACATTTAATTACTTAATTTTTACGAACATGTATATTTACATAATTTTTACTGGCATATTTACATAATTCCGACGATAGGTAATTATCGATATTATATAATTTTTTCTATCTGCTTTCGATAGATCATTTTATCGATCCACGGAAAATTTTTCGCGGCGGATTTTGCGGCGATTTTTGCGGCAGCTCGCACCGCCCGCGCCGTCCGCGCCGCCCGCTCGCGTATTTCGCGGCGTAAATTTTTTAGTCGCAGCTGCAAACTCTAAGAATTTGCAAACATATTAAATATCACTGCGCGACGACATATTGCAAACGTATGCACTCGACAGTTAGATGCGCAGAAAATATGACATGATATTCTTATTACTAATGAGCACGTACACTGTGCTCCCGCGACAAGATTTTGCAAGCGTTTGCATTTGACAGTATAATACGTACGAGGAATGTAACACATGATGTTCTTATTGCTAATGAGCACATACACTATGCCCCCGCGACAAGATTTTATAAGCGTTTGCTTGTTATGTATTATGAACAATATGTTATGTAAATAATGGTAAAGAAACGGTAAAGAACAGTAAAGAACAATAAAGAATGGTAAGAAACGGTAAAAAAACGGTAATGGAACGGTAAAAAAAGATAATTCAGAACGGTAAAGAAACGGTAAAGGAACGGTAAAAAACGATAAAGAAACGGTAAAGAAATGGTAAAAAACGGTAAATAACACTAATAAAACGGTAAAAAAACGGTAAAGAAACTGCAAAGAACGGTAAAAAACGGTAATACAGAACGGTAAAGAACGGTAATGAAACGGTAAAGAAACGGTAATGAAACGGTAAAGAACGGTAATGAAACGGTAAAAACGGTAAATAACGCTAATAAAACGGTAAAAAAAAACGGTAAAAAACGATAAAGAAACGGCAAAGAACGGTAAAAAACGGTAATAAAGAACAGTAAAGAACGGTAATGAAACGATAAAGAACGGTAAAGAAACGGTAATGAAACGGTAAAGAACGGTAATGAAACGTAAAAACGGTAATACAGAACGGTAATAAAATGGTAAAGAAACGGTAATGAAGCGGTAAAAAACAGTAAAGAACGCTAATAAAACGGTAAAAAACGGTTAAAACAACGGTAAAGAAACGGTAAAGAAACGGTAAGGAAACGGTAAAAAAAAACGGTATAGAATAGTAAAGAAACCGTAAATTGAGATTCTCATTGCAATCTTAAGTATCACAATGCAACATTTTTTTATGCTGATACATCAATGTGTGGACGCGGTCGACTGCAAGACGCCGTCAGACTGCATATGCGACAACGAAAATACGTACGACATATGATATTGGTATTAAGGAGCACGTTAGGCTGTGCTGATCTTGCACATTTGATAGAGCAACCCTCTCCAAACGAGATATGTTTGTTCGAAAGAGATAGTGATGGACCATATAAAAGTCATCCAGCAGTCCGACAAATAGTCCAGGATTGAATCCTAAGAGACAAACAAGTTAAAATAATGTTCTATACGGTAAAATTCCAGAGACCTCCATTTGAGGAGGAGGAGTTGATACCAAACCACCCACGTAAGTTTTTTAAATAGATCCTGATTAATAATTCTGATAATCCTGATAATCTTGATTCTTTATATTTTTAAATAATAATAATTAATCCAATTTTTTAGCAATGTTCGAGGAAGATAATATTGCGGAGATTGATGAAGAGCAGGAGGAGATGGAGGAGGAGGATGAAAATGAGGAACAGTCGACCGATAATGGTAAGAGAGAATACAACATTTATTATAATAATAACTCTACATTAAAATTTTCATTTTTGTATTCAAATTTTATTTCAGAAGAATATAACATTGATTTAGTAAATATAAGTAGTGGAGAAGAGGATGATATGGATACCGTGGAAAGGGAGAAGGAGGAGGAGGAGGTGGAGAAGGAGATGGAGGACCAAGAGGTAAGAGAGAGAACACAATTATTATAATATTAACTTTACATAAAAATTTTCAATTTTTCTGTATTCAAATTTTATTTCAGAAGGCTATAACATGGAATTGATGAACATAAGTAGTGGAGAGGAGGATAAGATGGAGACCGACGAAAGGGAAGGGGTAGAGGATGAGGAGGAGGAGGGGATAAAATCATTATAATATAAAATAGCTATTACTTCTTAATTATTAATATAATGTTATATTTATTATCATTATTATCATTATTATTATTATTATTATTATTATTATTATTGGGAGTGTAAATAAGTTCTCGCCGTTTTTTGTGAAAATAAATCCTTTATTTAAAAAAAATAATAAAAAAACAAGTCAATTAAAGTATTGCCCATCGCTGGAGACTACTTTTTCCCATCTTTCTGGCAGCATTTGAATTCCACGTCGAAAAAACGACACTTCTTTTGCGGCTATCCACGAATCGATCCATTTTTTCGTTTCTTCATACGAAGTGAAGTGCTGCTCAGCCAGGCCGTTAGTCATCGATCGAAATAAATAGTAATCAGAAGGCGCAATGTCTGGAGAGTACGGCTGGTGGGATAGGACTTCCCATTTCAGCGTTTCCAGGTGTGTTTTGACCGGTGACGCGACATGCGGCCGAGCGTTATCATGCAGCAAAATCACCTTATCGTGTCTTTGCTCATATTGCGGCCGTTTTTCTTTTAATGCTTGGCTCAAACGCATCAATTGTCGTCGATAGAGATCTCCTGTGATGGTTTGGTTGGGTTGGAGCAGCTCGTAATACACTACCCCCAGCTGATCCCACCAAATGCAGAGCATGAGCTTGGAACCGTGGATATTCCGCTTTGGCGTTGATGCTACTGCTTCGCCGGGCTTAACCCACGATTTTTTACGCTTGGGATTACTGTAGTATATCCACTTTTCATCACCAGTCACAATACGATGTAAGAAACCTTTCCTTTTTTGTCGTTGAAGCAGCTGTTCACACGTGACAAGACGCCGTTCGACGTCTCTCGGCTTCAGTTCGTATGGCACCCAAGATCCTTCCTTTTGTATCATTCCTAATGCTGTCAGACGTTTCGAAACTGTTGTTCGATCAACTCCTAATGATTTTGCAACATCGGATTGCGTCTGACATGGATCTTCAGCAAGTAATGTTTCCAATTCTTCGTCTTGAAACTTTTTTGGTGCACCACTACGTTCTCTATCTTAAACATCAAAATCACTATTTTTAAATCGGTTAAACCAATCTCTGCATGTTCTTTCCGACAGAGCATGATCACCATAGGTTTCTACAAGAATTCTGTGTGCTTCAGCTGCAGATTTCTTCTGAATAAAGTAGTACAGTAAAATTCCCCGCAAAAACGGTTTATTTGGCACGAAATTTGACATGTTTTACGCTACGAAAAGAAAATGTTCTTTATAAGTTAATGGAAAGACACGCACTGATTTTAAACATAGGTTATAGAACTTCAATATAGATGCGTCATCATCTTGAATTCTACACACAAAATTTTTATACCGCCATCTGATGGTGAAACGGCGAGAACTTATTCACACTCCCAATATTAAATAGTATCATCGATAAATTTATCAATCATTATAATAAAATTTATTATACATATCAAAGATTAAACAATTCTTTCTGGCTCTGACACCACCACCAATTACATATCTTTAGTACATTTTGTAACGCACAGTGTTTTGAATGATTTTTACATCGTAAAATGTTGGCTGCATTCAGCTTGTCCAATGACGCCATATCCTCGTAATCCGCATCCAGAGTCTCAAAGATCATTTTGCCCCTCACATCATCATTGAGGAGATTCGTCAACCACTCTCGTTTCTCATATTCCTTGATGTAGACGAGTTTGGATTCTTCGCTGGTTTTGCTGATCACAGCGTTTGTGATCAATCGCTTCGCTTTGTTGTACGGGACGATTCCATCATTCCACTGCAGGCCATGATGATTAGCAGTCAACCATGCTGCTTTCGATTCGTCAGCTTTCCTGAGAAGATGACACGACATAGGATTCGCAAAGACATAATGAGATAGAACAGTTCCATTTCTAAGTATTGCTATCTCTTTTACGTGAAATCTCATTCCAACCGTGAATCCTTGCAGGTCCACAAATGAAAGCACATACATTTTTTTATGTAATTTTGCGCACAATGTTGGTCAGGAGACTGTATTTCACAATATGATCGTGCAGAATAAGGCAGTAAGCTGTGGTATCCATCGGTATATTCTCCTTGCAGTCGAGTTCAATTCTCACATCGACAGTGGCGCTCTTGATGGATTCGTTTTGTTGCGAGCAATCAATGACCACACACGGGCAATAAGTAAGAAATTGTATGGGATCGAACAACACATTGCCGTTGTCACATCCGTAATATGATTTGCGGAAACGTGCGTACATATCGTACAGAACGGCGTATCTCGAAATCCAAATTCATATTGTCGTACGGATAAAATTCCGATTTGAGATAGAGTTTCACGTTAGTCAGCTTACAGTGGTCGAATATCGCAACATTACCAGTGACAGAATTCTTTCGACCAGTCTGCAGAGCAAAGATGACGTAACGCGGCTTCTCCAGCTGAGTCGCGGTCTTGACAGCCCATGAATGCTTGATCGTGCTCTGTAGGAGTGGAAATTCGTACAAATTCCACGAGCGAAAACTCATGCTCAAATATCGACCGCTTTCCAGAGTTCGCAGCATAGACAGTCTGTTTACATCTTTTAGCATAACGTGAGGCATTCGCCATTGTAATTTGAACAAATCAATCTTTGGGTCAGAGTTTGCATGTGCCACCACGCAATTGTAGTGGTTGCGTGAACGTATCAAGATCAATTCGTGACGAGCATTAATTACCATCCGTTTGTAGTCCTCACAAAAGCCTAGCAATGTAAG